GAACCAGGCGTAGTGGGCCCTCAAGAGGTCCTCTTCCATGGCCGCCGCAAGGTTCTGGACCCCCGTCTCGGGGTGCTGAAGGCGCCGCGAGGTGTGCCCAGCCGCGCGCGCAGAACTCGGCTGCGCTGAATGAGCCCAATGGGATGCTGTCGACCCCCTGGGTCTAGTAGATCATACTCAGGACCTTCGGACAGCTCGATGCCTTCGCCGCGTGGGGCGTCCAGAGACGAGACGGCCCTCGCGAGGCCTTCCTTCCCCGCGCAAAGCTCCAAGAAGACCGCGCCCCGCCGAACGCGTGCAGTCCGGCTATGATCATGTCGATCACGCTTGCCTTGTAGGACTGGAGTGCCAGTAGGGGCCTGAGGGGAAGTGGCAGTGGGAGAAAACGGGAAACACCCGCGCCGACCTGCAGACGCCCGACGCGGAGTCCCCGTAGGCGCCGTAGAGGAACATGCTGGAGGACACCTGGAGGACCCCGTAGTAGGTCGCCGTAATGGAGGACCAAGTCGGGGCCCTTGCTGATGGCGATGCCGGGGGGCACCTGGTCGCCCTTGTTGAGGCCAGGGGAACCAGCGAGGCCCTCGGGATGCCTGGCGGGGCCTCGCTTGTTTCTTTTCAAACGCGCTGGACATGCAAATGGATTCCCCGTCGCCGAGCGCCCGCAGCCTGCGGGCAAGGGCGCCAGACGCGCCGCCGACGGGCCTGAGATGTCCAGCGGCGGGGCGAACGGAATGAACGGATGGACTGCCCGCAGACGCGACAAGGCAGGGCGGTTCAGCATGAGAAGATGCACCGCGCGGCCGATCCACGCCCGGAGGAAACCCCCATCGACGCCGTCGGCGTCGAAGAAGCTCTTTGCTCGCGAGGTGCACCCGCCAAAACCGTCGAGGTCGATGGTGAAGAAGGCGGCGCTGCCCATCTCTGATGGCGCCCAGGTGCTCCAGCGATTGGGTCTGCTCGGTCGCGTCGCGCGCGCATCCCATTGTAGGAGAAGCAGCTCAAAAACAGACGTGCGTCCGAAGCGTCGATATTAACACTCCAGGGTGCCGCGTTGTCAACGTACGCGGGGGTGATCGGGCTCGCGAAGGACATGCGAGGGGCCCGATGCTTCTCGCAGGCGGCTCTGGCAAGACCGCCCAGGACTACAGAGGCGACGATGTGCTCGGCGGCTGAGTGACGTAGGTGGAGGGCCCACTAATTCCCATGCTGAGCGCTCTGAAGCATGGGTGCACAACATCTGCGGTCACGGGCGCCATCTCCTCTAAGTCGTCGCCCCATGCCTCTGCGACGCCGCGGGCGCCGGCCTCGTCGGGGCCGTCCAGGCCGAACCAGCAGGGCGCCGTCCAGTTGTCGAGCTGGTTGAAGCCATCCACGATGTCCAGGGGCCCCCCAGAGAAGGCAAACGAAGCGGGCCGCCCTGGCCCTTGATAAAGTCCTGCTCGTCCTCGACACTCAGCTCGGCACCTGCGACCTCGGAGAGCTCTGCTAAGCTGAGGTCCACGTCGGCTAGGGCTGCGACGGTGCCTGGGTCGGTGCGAGGTGGAATCTTGCACTTCTCGTTAGTGGCGCGGGCGTCGACGATTAGACGAGTCGTCCCAGTCTTCTCCCAGGCGAAGAAGATGGCGACCCTGGTGAAGATTCGGCGCCTGAAGGTGATCAGCTGGTTCTTGTGCAAGGCGGCGAAGGGCTCGCGCCGGCACTTCTTTGAGCGCCGCAAGTCTGGGCGCCGGCGCGGGGCGACGGACGCGCCGGACAGGCGATCCGCCTCCAGCTCGGCATCGCGCTTCGAAAAGTTTTTCTTGACGTCCAAAGCCCGTCGAAGCACGACGGGCGGTGAAATGGGCTCCAGCGGGAGAGGCGCGGCGACGCCCTTGGTGACCTTCAACTTGTCAGGAAGGTGTCGGGCCGTGTGATATGGCTCCTGCGCGGGCAGGTCTTTCGCATTGCGCGCCTCGTTGAGCGCGTCCAGCGGGGTGAGGCCTGCCGGGCGATTGCCGCGCAGAGCGATGCGATCATCCAACGAGTCAGGGATCGGCGTCTGCGAACTTGACAGCCTGCCCGAGCTGCCCAAGTAAAGACAACGAAAGTCTGAACACACTCCGGTGCGATGACAAAAAATTCGCCCGGCGCACGGGCTCCAAAAAGACGCTGGTCTCGGCGCCCAGCCTGCCCGCGCAAACTCCGCCGCCGCCGTCTGGGCCCCGATGGGGGGGGCCCTCGGCAGGCCGCGCAGGCAAAAGGGGGGGGCCGCCATGCCGTCGTCGACCGAGGCCATGAAGACCACGGCGTTCAAAAATCGGAGCCCGAGGCGACGGCCCGGAGGCCCCTCCCCGAGTGGATGGGCGACCGCGAGAGACGTCCAGGTAAGCGTCCCAGCCTGGCCCCGACAAGGGCCTATCCTGCCTTCTTCGGCGGCTCCGCGACCGCCGCTCATCGCGCCTGCGGGCCCTTTGGGCCCGCTCCGTCTCGTCTTCGGCCGCTCTCATCTCGCGCAGCAGGCTGGCCTGCTTGAGGGCGAAGGCGCGCTGATGCTGCTTCTCGGCAATCCACTTCGTGAAGCGAGGCACCGCGACTCTGCCTTTGTCCACCGTTGCGCCCGCCGACGCGCGCCCGAGGCCACTGTAGTCGGGGTGATTGGCGCCCTTCTCCACCGCGAGCACATGCTGGATGAGCCCCCAGACCAGCTGCTCCGCCATGGCCGAGTTTGCCGGGTTGATCTGGTCGCAGGTGAGGCCCAAGCGCAGAGCCTCCAAGATGATCCTATGATCGTGCGCGATGCCGCTGTTGGACGACGCTGCAGAGACCCAGCGCCAGATCCGATGATGCGCGCCGAACGAGCCGTCGGTGGCGTCCCGGATCCCGACCAGGCAGTCCTCGGTCGCCGTGGGGTCTGGGAACGGGAAGTCCTAGAAACAAGTCCCTTCCAGCTTCTCGGTAGCCTCCTTCGCGTGGATGTACCTCCGGCCGCCAGCATACCTGAACGTGCCCAGCAAGCGAAGGCCCCCTCCTCCGCCACGACGGTTCTCCCAGGACACCAGGTCGGCGCCGTTGACCCTCTCGACGTGCACCTCTGAAACATTATCGGACACGCCGAGCTGGACAACGCCCTTGGTCTCCCGCAGCAGCGAGCGGCCTGGGTCATCCAACGCGCTGGGCTCGACCCGTTTGCCGAACCTCGGGTGCGTGGTGTCGCTGATCACCCAGATCTGCTCAGCGTCCATCTCGAATTCCTCTCTGGCGATGTCCGCCAGGACTCGAACCCGAGCGATCGCCTCGCTGAGCTCGCGCGCGGAGATAGGGCTGACGCGGAAGCAGTCGTTGCGTCACCTGTCGGGTGGCGGCCTGCCTCTCGCGAGAGGCTCGAACCTGACCGTGGAGGTGTCCAAGATCTGAAGGCCACCCGTCGGCGTGAGAACAACCCACCGCCCCGCTGTGACACGCACCAGAAGGACTCGGTGGTGCCACGTGAAATTTGGATCCCCGTTGTACCGTGCCAAAACGTGTCGCTCTTTGGTGTCAAGGGCGCTCATGATGCGTCAGACAGTCGAAGAGACGAGGGAGTGGCCGGACCACCGCGCGCCCGCACGTAGATGGATGGTTCCTGTGCCACAGGGAGCTGTTGCCTGGTCGGAGAGCGACCGCACAACCGTCCGACGATCAAGCCAATCACGAAGGCGATCAGAGAGAAACTGGACGTGATGCTCACACAGAAGAACCAGCTCGTAGTCCGTGAAAATTGTGTCTGTAGAGCTTCCAGTTGACGGGTCAGAACCCGCTCGACGTGGTGACAGCTGTTGTCGCCTCCTGTCTCGCAAGAGGCAACCTCCAAATGACAATGGCACGTTGGCTCTGGGCTCTGAGCACTGAGAGAGATGTGGCCCCGCAGTACGGCGTAGACAAAATTTAAATCCTGGGGGAAGTTCGTGTTGCCGCAACGACGGCCCAGGCGGGCCTTCTCGAACAAAAAAAGAACTACTGACGACACCCTTCAATGGCGTCGTCTGTGTCCCAAGGCCTCTCCCTCTCTCTCTCTCTCTCTCCGTCTCTCCGTGAAAAACGCGTAATAGCTGACATATGTAGTGTTCTCCTGGTTAGCAAGTATTCGCCACCGTGCCGCTGGGTGCGGAGTGGGCGAGTCATCAAGTCCCTTGCCTGATCCCTGAAACCTCAGTCCTCTATCCTGAGGAGTCTATGGCCTGGGCCCCAAGTTGCCACATCTTCTTGGGCTTGGCGTGTCCCCGCGGGTTCGCGGCATCACCCCGCGTGTTTTTTCTGGCCCGAGAAGGCCCCCAGACGGGTCAAGAGGGCCCGGAGAGGCCCCCAAGACGGCATAAGAAGGCCCCGAATCGCTGAATATAATCGGCCCAAGACGCCCAAGATGGCCCCAAGACGGCTCAAGAAACCTTCGAGACACCCCAAGAGATACCCAAGAGCCTTCCCAGGAGGGCCCCGAAAGGTCAACATCATTTATGCTCCATCGGTTTTTCAACGTTTTTGGGGTTCTCAACTTTTCTAGCTTCCGACGCTCCAGGACGTCCCAAGAGTCCCCTAACACCGCCACAAGACGGCCCCAGATGCCCCCAAGAGGGTCCCGAGACGGCCCAAGAGGCGCCCAAGGCGGCCCAAAAGGGCCCCAAGGCTGCCCCAGGAGGGGCCCATGAGGGGGAAAGCGACCCAGAAATCCGAGCCTTCCAGGAGGCCCATGAGAGGCATCGACGAGGTCTCAACTCAACGACCATCTAAGAGGCCTCGGACCCAAACCCAGGCACGGTGGCGGGGCGGGCCGCAGGCCATGTGATGGTCATCTTAGGTTGGCGTACATTGGCTGCCGACCTGGGCGAGCGGAGCTCTCTGCGGCAATCTGGGGCCAATGCTGCGCGCGTAATGCAGCTCTCGGGCAGGAGGGCGAGAAGGAAAGCTAACCCGGAAGGCTGGAGGGGGGCCGCCTCACGCTTGGAGGGGGGTCGTGCCAACGAAGAGCACTTGCAACCCTCGGCATCCCAGCCCGGGGTGAAGACGGTGTGGGCGTCGATCTGCATGCAGAAGTCCTCAAGTTCGCCGCCATCGCCGAGAAGAATCGGCTGCCGCCCGCGAGCGTAGGCGGGGCCTGTTTGGTGGGAGCGGAAAGACACCGCTTCCCCCAACACACACACAATTTTGCCCGCGCCCCCCCCGATGAGACATCGGCCTTCCTCTGCTCACCGAACTCCCGCCGAACTCCCAGGACTGGTAAGTGCGCGCGCGGGCATTTCAGCATTCCTTCTCCTCCTGCTGCTCCTGCTCCTCGTTGCCAACTTCCTCCTCCTCCTCCTTTTCCTCCTCCTCCTCCTCCTCCTCCTCCTCCTCCTCCTCCTCTTTGCTCTTTGCCATCGGCGCGCAGCGAGGAGCCGAGTGGTCCGCGCGCTACGTAGCAAGCTATATGCCTGCCCACACGGGGTAATTACCCCATGAAGCCCGCTGCTGGAAACAAGCAGGCCGACCAAGTGCTCTGGGTGTGTGAGCCTATGAGGAGGAGGAGGAGGAGGAGGAGGAGGAGGAGGAGGAGGAGGAGGAGGAGGACCACCTCGAAGCGTGCGGGGTTCGTCCCTGCGCAGGCGCCAGGGCCACGCCGAAGCCAGCACGCCCCGGGACGCCCGTTGGGCCACGGGGTCACACCGACGGGTTGCGGGTCCTCCCGCTTCGGGGCGCCCGTTGGGCAGCGGCAGGGGAAATAGGAGGAGGAGGAGGAGGAGGAGGAGAAGGGGAGGAGGAGGAGGAGGAGGAGGAGGAGGAGGAGAGGATGAGGAGGAGGAGGAGGGAGGAGGAGGAGGAGGGAGGAGGAGGAGGAGAGGGAGGAGGAGGAAGGAGGAGGAGGAGGAGGAGGAGGAGGAGGAGGAGGACACTCGGCCGCGGGGGAGCTCCTTCAGCGCATTCGCAGTACAACTATACAACACAAGTCTAGATGGTGTTGTTTAGACGGCGGCAACGAGTGGAAGGGAGGAAGGTTGGAGAATGAAGCGGATGATGAGCATGTCTGGGCTTGGATGGGGGCGTACATCGGCGGCGAGCGAGGGGGGGAAGTGAGAAGGGGCGGACCTTCTCAGAAGGCTCGGAACTCGCCCAGCCGTCTGAGAAGTTTCCCAAGCTTTCCCCTAAGGCACACACCGCTTCTAACAAGTCCCACCGCCTTCCGAGAAAGCCTTCTCCTTCTCACTTCCCCCCCTCGCACTCGCTTCCGAGTGCTCAAAGTGTGAAGAGTTTTTTCATCAAGTCGATCCCTGGCGTCATGCTTGATTCAGAACGTAGAGGGCCGGTGAAGGCCCCAAGAGGCCGAAAATAGCGATACACCTCCCGTCGCGTCTTTTTCATAACTCGACGGGGTCTGGGTTTGTAGGCCGCCCACCTTTGGCCTCCTGCATGGTCATGCGGTACATGCGGACGCGGCTCGCCGGCCCACAGGCAGCGAACGACTCGGGCGTGTAGCGCGAGTGGCCCCAGGCGTCCTCGTGCGCTTCCTCCCCCTCCTCCCTCCTCCTCCTCCTCCTCCGCCTCGTATCCTCTTCTCTTTTCCTCTTCTCTCTATCTTCTCTCTCGACCTCCTCCTCATTCTCCTCCTCCTCTTCCTCATCCTCCTCCTCTTCCTCTCCCCGTTCCTCCTCCTCCTCCTCCTCCTCCTCCTCCTCCTCTCCTCCTCCTCCCCCTTCCTCCTCCTCCCCCTCCTCCTCCCCCTCCTCCTCCTCCTCCTCCTCCTCCTCCTCCTCCTCCTCCTCCTCTTCCTGTTCCTCTCGTTCCTCCTCCTCCGTTTCCTTTCTCCTCCCTTTCTCCCTCCCTGCCGTTCTCCTCGTCATCGGTGGCGTCGTCCTCCCCCTTCTCCTTCTCAAACTCCTCCTCCTCCGCCGTCCGAACTCGCGATCCAACTCCCACGTCTCCTGCTCATACTTCTCCTCCCCAGGTATAATACAAGCGTCCTCGTCCTTCTGGCGGCGGTTGAGATCAACACGGCCGCGGAACTGCTCCTTCAACTCCTGGGGGGCAACCGCGTTCTCTTTTGTCGAACCGTTGTCTTCTCCTCCCCCCTTTCCTCTTTCTCCTCTTCCTCTTGCCCCGTTCTCCTCCTCCTCCTCCTTCCCCTCCTCCCTGCTCATCATCCTTCCTTGCATTTCTTATCCTCCCTTCCTCATGCAATTCCCTTGTGGTGCTGCTCTTCCCCCTCTCTTCCTCGTTGTACTCTTCGTCGTCCTCTTCCTCGTACAACAAGACTCGGCACTAAAGAGCGAACCGATCCCATATCGGAGCCTCCTGCCCCTTGTGTGGCTGAAAGGAAGTGAGGAACTGGCCCAGCACGGGCAACTACTCCAGCAACAAAAACGATATTAGGGATACACGAAAGCCTGCAAACCACCTGAAACAAGCCACCTCGGTTGCCGCAGAAGACACTAAAGGAAGTCAGGCCTACCCTGATGCGCCATGGCTTGGAGGAGCGCACACCTTTTCGGTAGGGGAGTCTGAAATTCTTCAGCGTACGGAGCTGAGCTCGCTGGATGTTACGGCAGGCTGCCAATAAATGCTGGGGTCTGCCTGTAGAGTGTGACCCGCGCACAGAACAAAAAGAAACAGCCCCCCCATGCTTCCAATACGACCTGCCGGCAAGTTGTGGGGTGGATATGGCAGCTCGGAAGAGCTAAAGACAGTGGAGAGGGATCTCGGGAAAAGGTGTGCAGGGACCCCTTCGAGTACTACCCCCGTTGTTCTCCTGATACCGTCTGGTGCCGGGGCGCCAACCATCCCGCATATCGCTTCCCACAAGCCGTATTTCCCAACCATCCTTTGGTGACGGGTCCTCGTTTTGAAGAGACAGCACCCCGCGTCCCACCTCTCCTCCTCCTCTCCTCCTCCTCCTCCCCCTCCTCCCTCCTCCCTAGCGCCCATTGCAGCAGTTCGTGGCCCCATGGGGAGCTACACCGAAGGTCCCAGTGGCAGGATTCGCATGCCGGCCCCGCCCCATGTCGGCGCACCCCTCACACGTTTCGTGGCTCCACAGGGAGCTCCACCGAAAGCTCCAGTGGAAGGGTTCGCATGGCGGCCCCGCCCCTTTTCGGTACACCCCTCACACGCTTCGTGGCTCCATAAGGAGCTCCACCGCAGGCCCCAGTGGCGGGGTTCGCATGGCAGCCCCTCCCAATTTCGGCACACCCCTCACACGTTGCGTGGCCACATAGGGAGCTCCACTCATAGAGAGCTCCACCGAATGCCCCAGTGGCTGCGTTCGCATGGCGGCCCCGCTCCATTTCGCCGCACCCCTCACACGTTTCGTGGCCACATATGGAGTTCGACTGGAGGCGCCAGTGGCAGGGTTCGCATGGCGGGCCCCGCCCTATTTCGGCGCACCCACACGTTTCGTGGCCCCATAGGGAGCTCCACCGAAGGCCCCAGTGGCAGGGTTCGCATGGCGGCCCCGCCCCATTTCGATACACCCCTCACACGTTGTGTGGCCACATAGGGAGCTCCACTGATAGAGAGCCCCACCGCAGGCCCCAGTGGCGGGGTTCGCATGGCAGCCCCTCCCCATTTCGACACATCCCTCACACGTTCCGTGGCCCCATAGGGAGCTCCACCGCGGGCGCCAGTGGCAGGGTTCGCATGGCGGCCCCGCCCCTTTTCGGCGCACCCCTCACGCGTTTCGTGGCCCCTTAGGGAGCTCCACCGAAGGCTCCAGTGGCAGGGTTCGCATGGCGGCCCCTCCCCATTTCGACACTCCCATCACACGTTCCGTGGCTCTATAGGGAGCTCCACCGAATGCCCCAGTGGCAGGGTTCGCATGGCGGCCCCGCCCCATTTCGGCACACCCCTCACACGTTTCGTGGCCCCATAGGGAGCTCCACCGCAGGCGCCAGTGGCAGGGTTCGCATGGCGGCCCCGCCCCATTTCGGCACCTCTCACACGTTTCGTGGCCCCATAGGGAGCTCCACCGCAGGCGCCAGTGGCAGGGTTCGCATGGCGGCCCCGCCCCATTTCGGCACACCCCTCACACGCTTCGTGGCCCCATAGGGAGCTCCACCGAGCGCTGTATTCAGAATGCGGTACCCCAAATTGCAGATAGTTGGGACCTTTGCCAAGCTAATCCCACCAGCCCTCCGGGCGTCGGTGGTTTAACGAGTTTCCTCTTCCACCCCTCCTTCTTCCCCTTCGGGGAGATGTTTACCCCTCCCCCTACCCCCTCCCCACTGACCTGGACAGGGGGGGCCGCGGGTAGTTAGAGCTTCCAAGAACGACCCCTGGGAGGGCTAAAATTCGACACCACTCACGAGGATCGTGGCTCCTGAGGGGGGGACTGGAATTAGGGAACCCCCCTTCGTTGATCGATCTCCTCCAAGATGGCTCCGAGGCCCCCCAAGAGGCCCCCAGGAGGCCCCCACGAGACCCCCAAGAGGCCCCAAGAGACCCCCCAGAGGCACCCAAGAAGCGCCCAGGAGGCCCCAAGAAGCGCCCAGGAGGCCCCCAAAGGCCCCAAGATGGCCCCAAGAGGCCCCAAGAGGCCCCCAGGAGGCCCCAAAGAGGATCCCGAACGGCTCACAGAGGCCCCCCCGAGGCACCCAAGACGCCGAAAAACCACTCGGGACGACCCTCTACTCGCCTGGGCGTAGTTTCTGGACGGGCTGGTGGGGATACGCGAAGCGTCTAGAATTTCATATGTTTTGTTCCCCCACCCTCCTGTGCGTGTTGAGGCCTCGTTTTGAATCACCTCTTCACTGCCACCCCTCCCGTCCTTGCCTCTACTTTCCGCATCCCCTCTCCGCACACACTCCCCTGTGCCAATGCCGGTGCGCTGCTCACATGTCTCGTGGCCCCACAGGGAGCTCCGACTACGGTGTCAGTGCACGTCGGTCGGAAGAAATATGTAATTATCCTGGCGAAGGACCCAACCATATGCAATTGTGAATAACGCTTTGTGGGTGCCGCTTTCGGTGGGGCTCCTTATGGGGCCACGAAAGGCGTGCCACGAAACGCTGTCCTGGGCGTACGGGACGCATGAGGGCGGTAGCGCTGGGGCCTTCGGTGGAGCTCCCTATGGGGCCACGAAACGTGTGAGGGGTGTGCCGAAATGGGTGCGGCGCCGCCATGCGAACGCAGCCACTGGGGCATTCGGTGGAGCTCCCTGTGGGGCCACGAGGCGTGTGAGGGGTGTGCCGAAATGGGTGCGGCGCCGCCATGCGAACGCAGCCACTGGGGCCTTCGGTGGAGCTCCCTATGGGGCCACGAAACGTGTGAGGGGTGTGCCGAAATCGGTTCGGCGCCGCCATGCGAACGCAGCCCACTGGGGTCGTCCGGTGGAGCTCCCTATGGGGCCACGAACTGTGAGGGGTGTGCCGAAATGGGCACGGCGCCATGCGAACGCCGCCACTGGGGCCTTCGGTGGAGCTCACCATGGGGCCACGAACTGTGTGAGGGGTACGCCAAAATGGGGCGGCGCCGCCATGTGGACCCTGACACTAGAGCCTTCGGTGAACTCCCTACGGGGCCACGAAGCGTGCGAGTGGTGCCCCAAACTGGTGCGGCGCCGCCATGTGGACCCTGCCACTGGGGCCTTCGGTGGAGCTCCCTATGGGGCCACGAAGCGTGTGAGGGTGTGCCGAAATGGGTGTGCGGGACGCATGCGGACGGCAGCACTCGGGCCTTCGGTGGAGCTCCCTGTGGGGCCACGAAACGTGTGAGGGGTGTGCCGAAATGGGTGTGCGGGGCGCATGCGGACGGCAGCCATGGGGCCTTCGTTGG